TGTATATTCATAAAGTATATCACTGCACCGGGTGACCTTGTTACTTTGCTATAACAATACCAAGAAGGCTATAGCATTGTAACACTAGTTATTATTTTTTAGTTTTCACTTATTTTTTAGCAATTCCTTTTATATAAGCTTTAGCTAGTTCAAGTTGTCTTTTACTACTTCAATAATTAGCTTTAGTAGCTTTGTTAAATTCATCAGGCTATTCTATAGAATCTTGACTTCTATCATCTTAAAAGTTTCAATTTTAATAAGATTCTTTTCATCTTTTTTATTTTTTATTTTTTTTAATATTTAAGGTAAAATCTTGCTCTTATCTTTATTAAACTTAATGAAAACTTTTTATATGAAAAAGGTTTTATATTTTAAGCCTAGTGCTAAGAATAAGAACTAAAACATATAACTAAGAGAATCTTAGAATCTAAGTATACCTAGTGACTTATCTGCACTATATATTATAGACCAAAAGTAACTTTTTTTAACATTGTTATAAATAGATTTTATTTCTAAATATACTTTTTGTTTATTATATAGGAGAATTAAATAATTTTTGGGTAAGTGAATAGTGCGTAATATAGTCAATTTTATCGCCAAATAGCTATGTTTATATCACAAAAAGCTCAATTCTGGTTTTATCAATTTCAAAATTATAAAATGCTTTAAATATATATATGGATTTGATATACTTGCATCAATAAATTTCGGTAATCGAAATTGAAATATGTACTTTCCTGCTGAGAAATTTCTACCAACAATGCATGAATTACGGAAAAGAAACTCCAATAGATTACAGTGTATAAATGCATGCATCACAAGTTATCGAGCCATATAAGGTTAAAATAAAGGAGAAAAAAAAAGTATATTTAGGGATGTTTCAGTAGTATGGAATGACCGTAATGAATTTTCCCACAAAATGAAGTCAGTAATGCAAATGTCGGTTGTGTTATGAGCTAATTGACCGAATTTGTGATAGAACTTTGTGTCTAGATTTTGATACGTATTAGATTAGTCAGTCGATTTTAAGATAAAAAAATATTTAGCTACCGGTACGTACATTTTACCTGATCTTAGAAATTTTTGTTTGAACAACGAAAAATTATGCAGTATGCAGTATAGTTTATAAAATGCAATAATAGTGGCAATGATCTATTTGATTGGCTAGCGACTAGCTAATGTAGAGTGTGCGCATTTTTATGCAGTACGTACATACGTACGTACGTATTAAAAATTTTTATTATGCGATATCGATATCAGTGCAATTAAATTAGGGATTAAAAACATACGTATACGTACGTACGTACCAGAGTTTACATGTTATGTGCATTGGCTTTTATACGTAGCATAAATATCGCACTAGTTACATCAAAAAAGATAAATTTACTACGCATTTTATGTAATTGCACAAGTCCGGACACTCTAAGCTACGTAATGGCTGACTAAATGCTTTTCTTTCTTATTTTATTTTACGTTAAGAATAGATGTTAAAAATAAGTTATTGTAATGCGAACCAATACAATAAGTATCTTAAACTAGAGTGTCCAGCTATTTCTAGCATCTAAAATACTGTATAATTAGGTTGAGTTATGTGGTTGTCGTAATATTACTATATACGTACGTAGTGCTACTTTAGGTGCTAGAAATAGCTGGACACATAAATTTTAAAAAATAGATCTACCAAATTTGAATGATCTGCGCATGTAAATCAGTGCGTTGTTACGAACCTTACTATATTTGTTATTGCGGAATGGCTGTGCATGGTTTAAAACTTGGTTGGTGACCCTGGACTTGGTTTGATCATGGTTCCAGATCAGCAATGTATAAATATGACAGCTAAACTGATAAAGAGAAATAATTAATAATTTTGAGAGAATTCCGATGAGTCATAAATAAAGCGCCTTATGAATCGTATACCAACTGAATACATTCTTTAGTAACCCATTATCATTAAATCCGAATCCTTTATGAACATTCATCTCGCATAACCTATGCTTGTAACCCTGAGCTAATTTGACCTCAAGTTAGCCAAGTCACTCCCACGGTTACAACAGGTGAAAACTAATGATAATGTACACTTACGTATTCAAGTTCATTTTACAAAAGTTTTAGTTTTTTATGAATTATAAAAATACAGTACTATAGCGATAGTAATAAAAGTTATATAACACAGAATAAAATAATAATAAAATAAAAATGAATATGTACGAATAAATAATAATAACAATAATAATAATAATAATAACTAAAGTAACATAATTTAGATTAATAAAACTTATTCAGAAATAAATATACCCCTTCTATGTTCAGAAAAAAAATTGACAATTGATTTAAGAATAGCACCAGAAATCAATCCAATCCCTGTTGTTGTAGTCACGAATATAGGAAGTACATCAACTTGTCTAGCAGCAATACCAATTAAACACCAAACAATAACAGCAGAAAAAATAAAATCACTTTTTGGAGAATAATCTATTACGAAAAAACCAATAATAGTTGGATAATAATCTACTACGAACCAACCAATACATATGAAAATAATTAAAGCAATAATTGACAGAGGAAGGTTATCAAGGGCTGAAATAGCAACCCAGAAACCTAAAGTTGATCCGTATAGAGACCAAGCAGTCCAAATTGAGAATACCTTATGAATTAAAAGATTATCGAAAATTCCTTCAGGAGGATAATAATATTCGAGTTTATAATATGTAATTATTAAAATTACGGTAAATGTAGTATGTACAATTGCCTCAACGAGATAAAGATGAATTAACTAAAGGAAATGAAATAAATTATTAAATTACTAATGTTAATATTAATACGCAACATTATTTTTGTGTCAAAATAAATGGAGTCAAAAAAGCTGACAAATGCATTTTTTAAATTACTTTTTTTTTGACGCAAAATATAATGTACATTTCGCTCCGAATAAATGATCATAAAACGCAATACAAGGTGACAAATAATGGAGATATATTTTTATATGGATGTAGTGAATGACTTTTTAATTTTTAAATTAAAAACTAAATAATTTTTAACGATTTAATAATTAAGATCTATCAAAAGTATTGAAAGTATCGATAGAATGATATAGTTAATAATATATTTAAATTATTAAAAACTATTATATATATTATAACATATATTAAGCTTCTACGTATACTTTCGATAGATTTTACTTATTAAATCATTAAAAATTATTATTAATTTAATAATTTTAATAATTTATTTTTAATTTTAATCGTTAAAAATTTGTAATTATTAATTAAAAGGTCCGGTAATGCACTGGTTTTTATGTACCTTGTATGGCGTTTTTAAGGTAAAAAAAAAATTCATACGTACCGAAATTAGATACCAACTGCCATGAAGAATTCCAATGATAATGAAATTATATGAAATACCATCAACAATAATGTCGTTTACTTGTGCAGACCATTGATAAATGGCAAAAACCATAAGCAAAAAATAGAGTAAAGGTACGAGTCCAAAAGTGTAAAGCTCAGATGAAATATAAGTATATGGAACTGCGGTGGTGTTTATGAGCTGTGTAAATGCAGCTGCAGCTAATATAAAGAAAACAACAGCTGTATTTAAGGATTTTAGAAGAACTGGATTCATTTTATTTATTTATTTTCACGAAAATTTTTTAATGAAAAAATTAGCATTAGCGTTAGGCTTGCTTCACTTTATAATAATTTTTTGCTTGGTCATCACCTGATTATTTGTGTTTATATGACGCTCCATTAATCAATGAATCTACCTCCTAACGTGACTTAACTCTAATCTAGCACCTAACCTTAACATCCCAATTGGATAAAAATCACGAGGGGGTAAAATTTTTTGTGGGTGAGTACGACACTTTGTTTATATACGTACGTGGCGTAACTGGTAACGTACGTACTACTTTCTAATAATTATATTAAAAAGGAAATTTTACAGGGAATAAATCTATTAATATGGTTGTATAATATCTTGGCGAAAAAAATAACTACGCCATGCTGCAAGTAAAATTTACATATTATGTGCATTAGTTTTATTATGTTGATATTAATCAATATTGTTATTTGCATGAATATAGCATTAAATAATGTAATTGCACAAGTCTGAACACTCTAAAATAAAGTTTTTACTGTTCAAATCTGATTTTATATAGGTTCAAGTTCTAAAGTTAGGCCAAAACCGACCCTCTATTAAGCAAAATATTTTAAGTACTATTCATATTACTATTGATTTCCAAATTACAATAATCATATCTAAATGTTTTGATCTATTAAAATTATACAAATTTACAATTCTTATATATCTTTAATGCAGTATTGGCTAATAATTTAAATTATAATATTTTTTTATTATATAATCTTGGTCATATAATTATATAATTTTTGGTTATAAATTATATATATCAGTTATATTAACTTTAATGAAAAAAAATTTTATTATGATTCTTTTAATAAAGTAAAAATAACAGTAAAAAATTTTTTTATTTATATTTAATATAACTAATTAGGTTATATAAAAAAATATTATAACTTAGATTATTAACTAATATTGCTTTGATATATATTCTTTAATATATTTAATAATTTTATAATTTTTTTAACTTACAATATAAAAATATTTAAAACCTAAAATATAATCAAGTTAATATTTATATTTTTATACTATCCTTCTCGATTATTGTCCATTTGGACTGATCCGGAATTTTTATACTTCTTTTTGATTATGTACCTTTTTTTCCTTTTTTTAATGATATACGAAATTTTTAGACTATTTTAAACTATTAGCGTTAGAATTACTAACAAAGAATAAAAGTTGCTGGCTAAAAAAAAATGAAGAGGTTTGTGATCTACAGTAAGCTAGACTTTATGAAATACGTAATTTTACTTTGAAGAATAGTATAGAAACATAATAGAACCTGGGAATAAATCAGTTATTATCCACGAACTGAACATAACCAAATATCAATCCCAAATCAGATGATCGGATAATGACGGAATGGCTACTGGCAGGATTGGCAAATTTGTCCATTGCTACGTATCAATGGAGCTCAATGGGCAATAAGCTATATATAGGTTATATAATTTGGGGCAAAAGTGTGTCATAGTGATACAGTATTAAAAAATAATAACAGTGGTAAAATACTATGGCATTTTATCAAGCCTGAAAATGCTTATTCATTTTCCCAGCCACTCAAATATATCGTTGTTGATTCAAATTATTTGCATTTTTTAATGTATCAAAAAAGATACTCGAGACAGTGGGCTGCAGACTGGGGAAATGAATAGATATTTTCAGCCCTAGTTTAAATTCTTTATGCTATTTCAACTAACAATCATAGAGATTCGCTTAGTTTACATTCTAATATATTTCATCAGAGCGTATTTCTACTTTTTATTGCTGAGCTAAAGATTAATATAACATAAATATTATTTTTAGATACCATATTAAATAATTCATATTATACATGTGAATTAGAACCATTAACATTATGTAAGTATAAAAATAATATGTATTATATATAACGATAAATGACCGTTAAAAAACTAATAAATTAATGAGCACTGAAGAATTTTTTAGATCGTGTATGGGATTTCTAATCCTATGCAAGACTTTTAGATCCCGTGCAGGGCTATGCTAAAGTTTTGGTCAAAAAGATTACTAACGAAGGGTGTACAACACTAAATAGAGTTCACATTTGTATACATAGTTCAGAGCATTAAAATGACTTGTGTTAATAACAGGTTGTAATTTATAATTAAAAATTAATGGACCAATGGATCAATGATCAATGGAATATATCCATTGATAAATTATGTTTACTGGACATAGTCCATTGCCAACCCTGGCTACTGGTGTTACGAAAATTCGTGTTTAAATTTTCTTTGTTATTTTCTATATTGTATTAGCATTCTTTACTATATTTGTTAGTGCTATTAATATAGTATGGCTGTGCATAGTTTAAGACCACAGAAGTTATTTAGTCGGAACAAAAAGAATATATCGTTCTTTATTAGCTTATACTTTTCAAATTCTAGTGGTTTTGGACCAAGATCTATGGTTTCAGACCAATATCGGTGGTCCTGGACCAAGATCTATGGTCTCAAACTACGATCTGTGGTTCCAACCCAGATCTATGGTCTCGAACCAATATTATATAAAGTAAGTACATTCCTTAATAACCTATTATCATTAAATCCGAATCCCTTATAACATAACCTATGTTTGTAACCATGAGCCAGAGCCAGTGGTCGTTAGAAGCAAAACTAGCTAGCAAAATTAGCTAGTAAATTTTGCAAATTTAGCAAAATAGCTTATTACAAAATTTATATTTGTCAATTATAAATTTTAATGTAGTCGTATGTTCTTCGATGAGTTCTTAATCTATCATCATTTACAACATGCATATAATTGCACGTTTATATAAATCAGTTTAAGAACAAAAGGAATAGTCGCATGCTTAGCAAATTTCGCATCTTAGCACAAACAATGTTGCTAGCTATTTTGCTAAAAAATAGCGCTATTTTAGATGCTACTAAAATCCACTGGCTCTGCCATGAGCTAATTTGGCCTCATGTTAGCTACTGTTACAACACTGGCTGCTTCGCAGACAGTGTGCTATTCAATCATTATCCGATCATCTGATCTGGGATTGATTCTTGGTTATTGCCCACTTCGTGGACAATAACATATACTTACTAGGTTAATGCGCAGCATTGTGTGTCCGAAGCCTATTTTATAAAATGTGTATTTGTTTTTGTTACATTAAAGTACAAATTCATTCACGCGTGCGAACAGACATGAATTTTCAAATTTACATTTTTAATACAAAATTATAATAACTAATGATTTTAATCAAAAACGTAACAATTGATGCATCAATAACGTAACTTTGTATCACTCTTTGATAATTATTACAAAAAATATTAAATTATTGTCAATGATATAATAATGATAATTTAACATTCTTAATCAGATAATATAAAATACTTACTATTGTTACATAACAATCAGTAAAATGAATAGCAAAGCAATATCCTTTACACCGTCTTATGGGCAAATTTGCCTACAACTTTTTTAACAAATGTACTTACTCAATTACTGTTATATATAAAATAGCCTTATTTAGTTATATTCCATTTAGATGCAGCCAAACGTTCCGGTTAATTAAGACAAACTTCGATATAATTTTTACGTAGCAATCGGGAAATTTCCGTTACTTATCATTAGAATATACGTAATAATAATATATATAAAAATATATATAATTCTATCGTTAATATCCGGCTGCAGATCTAAAATTTCGTTTAGTAGAAACATCACCGGAAAAAAAGCAGGACACGCCATGTCATAATTTTGTGCGTTGACCAAATGTTCAACCCAAAAAATGTCATCACATAGATCAACCAACTCTAACGAACAAAGTATAATCATAAAGATCATTTACGTACATACGCACATACGTATGTACGTGCGAGTATTTATTGATATATGAGTGCCAAGGGAAAACATGTCATTGACTAGAGGTCCAATCCGGATAAATCCATCATCCATTTATCCCCAGATATCCATTTACTATTGGTATCCAGATAATCCGACAAATATTCGGATAATTATCCGGATATCAATAGTAAAACGGATATCCATAGATAAATGGATATAGGAACTCTACATATCATCGGGCTTTAACTTGTGTACAGTTTGATAAATTTTTCTTAGGGTGTTCTCAAGCACCATAATCAATCTGTCGGAACGGGTCTGTGGGTAAATTTTTATTAGTAAAAAAATAGTTTAAATGAATAAACCACGTGATGAAAGCTTAATATGTCAAAAAGAAAATTCTATTAGCAGAAGTTCGTTTAACCGATTAAGGGTATTTATCATTTCAATCAACAAGAGATAGAGGCCCAAACGTCCTTTTTATCATAGAGTTGCGCTTATTGGTCGAAATTTTTCATTGATTGATTAGAAAAAATAATTGTTCAAGTATTTCACTCTCTTTACATTATCATTATCGTTATGGATATTACCGACGTCGACGAATTATTACCTTATTACTTATGCTAAAAACCTTCGTCGCAAATAAAAAAGGCATATTTTTGTGTTCTGTTGGTTGTAGTAAATTCCGAAAAAGAAGAACCAGAATTTGAAAGGGTCGTTGATTACTTTATCCTTTCGTTGATCCATAGTTTTCATTATTATTATTATTATTATTATTATTATTATTATTATTACTTCGATTTGTAAAAACAATAGTCGCTAAATGGTAATAATGATAAAAATGTTTGCTCAAGCTTCAATTGCAAACAATATTTTAATTAATTGTAATACTTGAGCACCAACATGATCATAAACTAATCACATCGAGGAAGATATGTGAGCATATTTCAATCATATTAATATTTATGCTATCGGTTTTCAACATCCATACTATCGGTTCTCAATCACTGTCTCAATCACTAGCTAATCACATCGAGCATGCACCCTTAGACAAAAACAAAACCTAATTGAAAGCCGATGACAGATTTTCTCTTGGCGGCACTCATATCTGATAAGTGATTTAATATAATATATTATAACAAAAATTTATAACGAAAAGAAAAATTTCTTATCATATGAAA